GAGATTCAATAGCCCTTTTTAACATAATAAAAAAATTATGTTATTATATATTTAGTGTTAAGTTCAATAACAGCAGATGCGTATTACTTATATAGAACAAGGAATGGTCACAGCGAAACTCATCACTACTAAACCAGCAGCTCACACTAAATAAGATATAGTATTGATTATATTACATAATCTAAGGTTTTTAACTCTAAGAGACTGTTCCTCAACGTATCTAGTATCCCTTATTTCATAATTTAATTAGATGATGATTCATATTTCCCATTCAAATTTTCCTAGTCAACACAATAGGTATCTACTGTTTGTAGATTTCAATTGAACGCTTTTCAAAAGTTTCCATTGATATGACAAAAAACATTGACCCAATGAATTATTGGTACCATTGTCACATTCAAGAAAATGTTTTAATTTTTCACACCTTAACCCCTAACATCTATTTTTCTTTCTTTGTATCACATTAACTCCAGAAATAGTGCAATCAGTGCCAAGAGGGAAAGCCAGGTTGATTTAGTGGGCCATTAGGGCAGTCATCTTCTTGAGTATTTTTTTCTATGAGGAGCATAAATATAGGGACATCTTCGTGAGTCGAACCTGAGTCTTAACTGCGCAGATGTGCTGCTAATGTATATGTATTCTTACCTTTTGTTGTATTTTATGGCTTAGCCTCGGATGGCTGGAGCTTTTTACGTTTTAACTTTACATTACACACGTTTTTTTATGAATATGAATTAATAGGAATAAAACAATGATCTGAAAGCCTCTGTTGTACTCTGTTTCTTCGAATACGAAAATTCGTCTATTTTCGAAATCCTAATAGGACTCTAAAGGAACACATTTTTCGATAATTAATAATGAAACGGAGGTAGGACCCTGACGCTGCTTCTGATGCACAGGTAATATTGACGCATATGATTTAATAAAAAATTGTAAAAACGATTCGAATTTTTTGTAATTTTCGTACGTAGACAACTTTTTTGTGAAGTTCGCTACTCTTCGAAACATTATCTTTTTTGAATATTTTCTCTAAGAATGTAGGTGCAACGTACAACAGCTGTGCTATAAATATGATTAGGAACGTCTTAAGTTTCGGTTGTAGTAAATTTTAACGTTTTTTATGGTAATATTTAATAGGACACTGGCGAGCCCGATTGAGACGTAAAAAAACAGCTGACAGTATAGTGTTTACAAGAATCTTATAAATAAGGACATAAAAAAACTCACAACCTCCATCTCCGTCCGGTATTTCTGCGAATCCCTGGCAGCAGTAGTTTACGTGTGCACCAAAACACATGCTTCCTTTGACAGAAAACAGCTGTTGCCCATTCCGGGAATAAAACGGTTACCTAGTGTGGCGCCATCGCGTAGACAAGGAAATGGTCTCTATTACGATGGTGATAGAGATGAGTGTGCACAGTTAAGTGTATTAGTGTTAATCAGCTGATCGTTTCGGTGTTAGAAGTTATAAACAGGATGCGCGAGCGCTTGGGGGAGGGTCTGTCTGATTTATTTATTTGTAGTCAGCTGAGAGCGGCGCCGGCACTCGACTCGGCGGCGGTGGCCACGCTGCATGCGAACGACAACTAATTTTAGAACTATGCAGGTGTCCTCTTTTTATAGAAAGAAGAACTTTGGATTACCTCTACTATATAGTATGATATTAGTAGGTACCTACTGATTACTATCCAAACAAAGGCGTCATTATTGAAAGACTTCAATAAAAGGACTGTTTTAACATTTGTTTGTATTTTTGCAAGGCGTGACGATTCTACTGCGCACTAAAATGGAAAGAAGAGCAACTGGACTATTCTGTGAATATATCTTCACAGAAATACCGGTAGATTTTTCTTATGAGGGGACATTACTCAGCTAATTACATGTATAGCTGTTGCTGTACCATAAAGAACTGTAGCTTTTTGATGTAGTCGTTGATGTTATAGTCTTCGAAGTTAATTCTGGTCACCACCCATCCTATGACCGGTCATTGGGAAAGTTGCTTATCAATCGTATCGCACACCGAGCGCTAACCAATGCGGTATCGAGCAACTTACGACATATTCATTACATATTAACCTGAATGTTTTTTCATTACTTCACTCACACATGTCTTCCATCCATCTCGTCAATTTAAGCCCGAAAAAAAGCTGTGAGTGTAAAAATCGACTAAGTAATTATTATTTATATTGTTCTTAGTCTATTTATTTCAGTAAATGGGTGGTAATCCCTTATTATATGATGACTCAAGAGACAAGGAGAATATTCTATATTAAATATTATACATGCGAAACTAGGTCTGTGTCTGTGTGCATGTCTGTTACGACCTTATACCTAACCCACTTAACAGAGTTGACTTGAGGACATACGATATAGGTTGCTTTTTATAGTAATAAAAGGGTTCACATAGGTAATTTAAATTCGTATGGAACTTCGTCATTGGCAAAGTTTAAATCATGAAACTTTATATTCAGACATTTTAAGCAATATGATGAATAAATTTTATTTTAACGTTTTTAGAAATGCTTACCAAAGTGACTATACCACGCGGACGAAGTCGCGGGCCAAAGCTAGTGCTGTATAAAAATAAAAAACTCTGTCTTTGGAAAGGACGCACTAACTAAAGCACGTGGATCAAGAAGCTGGCTTTTTTTAAATACGCTACAGGAATCAGTTTGAAAAAGAAAGTCTCAAATTTCTTTTTTAATTTTTTTATTAAACCAGAGATCTATTGTAGTACACGTACTTAGAATTTAACACTTACATAAAGAAACAACTCGTATTACTAGCTCTCCATTTGGTTTAGTCAAGTCAGTGCTAGAGCCGAGTCATCTGGTTAAAATATACTAAAACTATGGACTTACTTTTTACATTTCCAATCATAATCTCAGTTCACTTCGCCACTTCGATTGTACAGTATTTCTAAATAATTATTCACATTCAAAAAAGATCTTATCATAAACAAGGTCTAACTTTGGTACTTATTCCACACAACTGTCGTGTGTTACCTTATTTACATTGATTTTATCTGAAACACAGTTATGATAGGTATATGGCATTGGCTCAGTTTTGAATAACCTTTATACAAAATAACTTGGAGGCGATTGTGTTGTACCACTTTTTAAGTAAAATATAATAAATAAACTAAAAAAACTGAAATCGGTTTAAAACGGTAACCCCTTGAAAAGTAAAAATTAAAAATAATCATCTAACGAAGACATCGTGGGACATACATACATTAAAAACATTCTTCCTTTTTTTACAGTCGGTTAAGAAACAAGTTTCGTTTTGGGTTGAAAATAATAGCAATCTCAAAATATTATACCTAAATTAAATGTAGTTTGTGCACAGAATTACTCGTTCATTTTATGTTTGTTAGGTCATGCATGATCATTTCCCAATTTCATGGCAGCTTATGAATTATAGGTACATTATTAACTATACCTAACTTATTTAATTAACAAATACTCAAGTCATGCCTATGTGGCGTTTCAATGAGGAAGTATTTAAAAGAAAAACCATGAATTCCCGAAATCGAACGCTACGGTACTTTCTTGATTTCTCCAAGACAACCCTTCCGGTTTTTTTCATGTATAAAAGTAAATTAATTTTCAAAAACTCAATATCCTCATATTCTATTTATACTTTTTCGTTTTTGTATTGATATCTAAGTTTCGAACTTTGCAAATTTCAGTTTCTTAATATGTTAGTTAAAAGGAACGGAAAAGATTCCCTTTGGTCCATTCGCTTCCTGCAAAAATCAACTTTTGGTAGAGTCGCCATCTGGTGTAGGTGCTTTTTAGTGCTATCTTTTTTTTTCTTAAAATACTTCCTCATTAAATATCCACTATATTACATTTTGATATGCTGTGCACGGTACTTAACATATGATAATAACTCTTATATAATAATATTATATGTTATTTATTAATAAAATACTGATTCTTTCGCTCTATAATTTATAAATACAACCATAGGACCTAATTATCTTTCTTTAACCTTAATAATGATTAGCTGGAGAGGTAAAGGCGAATATTTATGATTTCAAATATTTTGGGTTAATTTATTTCCAAATTGACTAATAAATAGTATGGAGAGTATTATTAAAAATACGTTAATTTTCGACTTGCACACGTACCACGACGAACTCTAGAAACGTTATGTGATATAAAAATTGGTCTACACGAAGATGCCATTTTTCTTTTAATCGCTCGAGAGTGAGACATCGCTTGGGCAAACCGAGAAAATAGATAAAATGTTGTCGAGTTCGTCATGCGACGCGATCTGGTTCCCTGGAAACTAGGCAATCAACAGGTGTTAAGTTATATAATTTTATGTAATTAACACAGTATTTGCTGAAAATAAATATTGTTAAATAAATAGCAATTGATGTGATTAAGATATACGCAAGCAACAAACGAGTAAAAAGTAATCGACTACTCCTTTTTCGGTTAGCATGCAGTTTTTTGTGATGTCCTCAGACCGAAAAAAAGTTTTTGGTTTGGAAAACTTGGTCTGCGACTATGCAGCAGTTGCACACTGCACATACGCCGCGTCTACTCTACGGTTAAACAGCTGATTTCTTACTTCAAAAGTATTTTGTGCAACGTGGAGTAAATCTATATATACAAGATTTAATGATACCAAAGCCAGCGAGTTGTTGTTTTATATGATTAAATAAGAATTTTCCAATGATTTTCGTATCGTTTTTACCATATATAGCCAGAGGATATCTTGTTGTAGAATGCGTGTAGATGCTCTCGCTCTATGAAACTGCATTATAATGAAAGGAGTGACTGGTGAATGCTGAAACACATTGCCAGATGCAACAGCGACATTTAAATTTATTAAGATTAAAGGAAATTATTGATTGTCCGATACAAACTAATATGTATAGTTTATAATGTTCGTAGGTAAGCTCGTTTAAATGTTTATTGTGATTGAGTTTTAGTGTTGTTTTTATTGTAGTTGTAGTAGAAGTACAACCATTGCAGGTACGCGGCTCAGGAGGGCTTGTCGTCGTCCTTGTCGTCGTCGCTGCTAGAGGAGGAGGCGGGCGCCCTGGCCCACAAGCTCGCGTAGCTCTGCTGCTCCGCTACTAAGGCTTCTTCAGCTTCCATCACTGCCTCGAATAGGCGACGTTTGATACTGATTTGTGTGGGGAAAGGGAACCGCTTCGTTGATTGGCACATGCTGAAAAATATATGGGTAATATTGAACTTTTGTATCGTTGGGTATGTCATTATAATTCTCAAGAGATTATTGTAAATTTAGTTCCCTGGAAGGTATTTAATTTTGAAAATAGTAAGCTTTAATGAAATGTCAATTACCTATATTTGTAATTATCGTTTTTCTAACCGACGTTATACTTACTAAATATGTTTTCGGACTACACATACAATTACAAAACAACTTTAGTTTTCTGTTATAGACTGTTATATCTGTTATAGTTCTCATAAGTAGGTAACCAACCACTTTATATATTTATTAGCATCTATTGTATGATGTAAAATAATTATATCGCACATAGACCATGTCCGCAGTCGGGTTCGATCGGAAATGGTACTCGACCGAATACGAATAACAAATCTGCTATTCGGCGAATACCAATAATTCAACAAGGCAAATAAATATACACACTGTTCTATTTTACTACAAGGATATTTACTAAATACGATATGATGTACCACTGACAGGCCTAAGGCCCATGCTCCTTAACCATCCATAAGAAAGGCCTGAGCCCCTGCAGTGGGGACGTAAAAGGGCTGGTGATGATGATGATGATGATGATGTACCACTGACAACATTTCGTTTGAGCTTTTCGGTATTGTCTCGACTCAGGGTGTCGTGTAAAAGTTCGTTGTTTCAGATTTCCGTAATCGCTTGTACGGAAATCTCAAATAACGAAGTCCTCCAGCTGCTACTCCAACTGCCTAGTCTGAGCAATGTACAGCGCCGGCTCAGTGACTTGGTGCCCTTGGCAAAACACTGCCACGAGACGCCCATAAAAATCACGACAAAATTAAAGACTAGGTACAACGATTAGAGAGTCTAATTTTGCCATTGACAAAGTACTGTTGGTTACAGCGGACATGGCTTTATGTCTGCTTGTGATGTGCATACATACCTATTGAAGAATATATCTAGTGGGTCTGGAGCGGGCGGGTCCCGTCGTCCTGTCTCCATGCAGGCCCTCTTACTTTGCTGCGCTTTACACAAATAGTCTAGTTTCCGATCGATAACAGACAAACGTCCGCAGTTCTTCCGTTTGGGCGAGGAGTCCGCGTCCGAGTCGGACGAGTCGGTCGAGCCGGCGGCGGCTGCGCCGTTGGGTGCCGGCGGCGCCGTCTCCGCCGGTTTCTTTCTGTTACTCATGTAAGGTTGTAGAAACTGCATCAAGCCCATGTACTTCCAGGGGTATATCTTCTTTGCAGCTGTTCCCGGTTCTTTGGCGAGCATCTCGCTTTGGCGCTTCAACGCGTCTCGGTAACTGTCTCTTAGCTTTTTCCATTTAAGCTTCACCTCCTTGACTGAAACCAAATAAGAAATATTTTATATTTGATAGATTTTGTATTCGTGATGAATGCTATATTGATATTTGTAAATATTTGTTAAAAGACTTCAATCTTCGATTTGTTCTACACTGACCTACGACAATTATTTTAACCGATTTCAAATCGTAAAGGCGAAAGCTCAAGTTCGGTAGATATGTATGTTTGTGTATGTTTACCGCCCTTAACGCGAATGGTAAACCGATTTTTAAAATTCTTTTAAATCGAAAGCTTATGGGATCTGTGAACACCCCGTTCATATAAAATAGCGAAATCGGATTAGCAGATTTGATTTTATTCTTATTGCCTTTAATTCTTTGTTATCCGTGTCAAATAATTATCTATCTTATTTTACGGTATGGCTTAGTATTTTGTAATAGATATATGTATTAAGTTGTTCCTCTCATATGTTGTTTTAAACTTACATAGTCATTAACATTAAAATAGTTACTCCGTAACGAACTTACTCCGTAATCACTGTGCTTGTTACAGCGCTGATGTATCGGGAATTCGACAAAAACATGGCACCTACATGGCGACAATCCCGCAAAAAACTATCATTCTAATGTTCCTTTCATGTTAAATTAGATAAACATTTATTTACCTTTTTAATTTTAAGGTAACTAAATAATATGTTAATAATTCCCGACAACAAGTGTCATTTTTTGGCACACAAATAGGAACACAGGTTTTTTATTCATTTTTAATGAATGAAAAGAAAAAGACAAAAAAGAAATCTGAAATCACAAAATAAAATCTGTTGAAGTCCGGAAATAGTTAAGTATAAGAGAATTTAAAGAATATTATTTGAAATTTACTGAATTTACTGGTTTATTTGATGTCCAATATGCAAGAGTACCTACTTCGGTACCCACTTGGGTAAGAGGCCAACTAGAGGATAAGAAGCGGTTGACTTATGGTGTACATAAGGTCGAGTACTGGTGAAAAGTGCCATACTTCGATTAGTCTTGATTATTTATATAATTCCAGTCTAATTATAATATTTTGTTGATCTCTTTAGAAAATATAATAAATTACCTTTTGATAAAACTGCTGATTTTATTTAAAACCCTTATTTTTTAAATATACTTGAATCAAATTAAGATTCTCATTAAAGGTGCGACTACTGGGCATTTTACCCTACGCAGCGCACGCAAGGAAAGCTTAAAAAAAAAGTAAAATATTCTCCCGTTTTTACAACATTTTTTATTGCTGCTCCACTCCTATAAGTCATAGCGTGATGTTATTTATCCTATAGCCTTCCTTGATAAATGGACTATTCAACACAAAAAATATATATTCAATTCGTTCCAGTAGTTCCTGAGATTATGGAATTCAACCAAACAATCTCTTCAGCTTTATTATTTATTAGTAAAGATTTATATTCTTTAATATTTATGATGGGTGTTCTCAAACCTTATTTTGTTCTTTCGATTGTTATTCGTATTTTTTTTTCATTGTATTGTTTTCTACCTACTTAATATAAAAATTGATTTTTTCGTCAACCGTTACTCAGGATATGTTATATTTATATTGTTATCTTAATAAGACATTTAAAGATTGATTTGTATTAAAGTACCTATCTTATGATTATTAAATATAATATAAAATACAATAAACACAAAAAAATATTAATTGTGTATTAGTTTACAGCTAACAGCTGTACAAGGCGCGAACATGGAGTGTGCGATATGCCTGTTTGTCTATCATCTGGCAGCGTTCTGCCACCACGACTGTTTGTATAACAATACAGGAGCGATGTGCAATAATAATAATACAACAAGCGACGCGAGGGGCCGAGCGTGTGTGCGTGCCACACTGTTATTATCTATGCACACTGTGATGTGACGACCGAACACCAGCAGCGGACCGCCGCGCCGCGCGCCGCCGGCAGGCAGGAGCGGGCGCGAGGGACGCGGGCCTGCGTACACTACCGAGTACCGACCGACGAAGCCGCACACACGAACGAACCGGCCGGCGGCGTCTGGCGCTTCGCTTACCCGACGACAGGTCCGTCTCCTTCATCACTTCCGCCCAGGCGGCGTCCTTCAGCTCCTGGTCCCTGTACTCGATCGCCGTCGTGTTCCACAGGCAGGGGTACTTGCGGACGGTCTCTATGAAGTGCTCCATGTCTGCGGGGCTCGCAGGCAGCTCGGCGCGGGGCGGCGCGGCGGGCTCGCGTGTCGTACTGAGCCCGGCCGGCCCCCGCCGCCGCCGCCGCCGCTGCCGCAGCTCGCCGCCGCTCGCCGCCGCACGCACCCTCCCGCCGCGCGGCCCCCTTCCCGTCGGGCTTCGCTCTCGCTACCTGCACCTGCGCTGAGCGCCGACACTTTTCGTTCCTTAATATCGAGGAAACGGTCGATTTCGGGATCCCCAAATTCGATGCTCTCTGGCGCAACGACAAACTAGGGTCCTCTCGTACGCTAGCGAGCACCCGTTGAATGTTGCCAGAGTTCCTTCTCGGCCCGGGCGGTGGTTTGTTCAGAGCCGAGCCCGTCTCTAAGAACCTCTTAACCCATGATCTGATCAGGGCTGTACTCGGGGCGTCGCTCGGTCGCCGGATGTCGTAGTGTGTGCAGAATTTTCTGCGAGCACTAACACATGATTCGTTAGCTTTGAAATATTCAGCGATAACGAACGCGCGCTGTTCGCCCGTCCACTGCGACATCCTGCTTGAGATAGAATCGAACGACCAGCATGCTAGTGAAGCTCTTAGTGGACACATCCCCACTCCATTAAATTAAAAACTCTTAAAGATGATCTGTAACAAATTAAATTCTGGTACTTATCTTTAAAATCTTAAAAGTAATCATTTTGATTTATTCATTTCATTAAAAATATTTTAGTGTCAATAAATTTCTCATATTTTTGTACCATGAAAAAATTGCAGTATGCTTAGATAATAGTTTTGAGATAAAGCTTTGCCCGCAACTTCATCCCGTGGTATATGTTACTTTTGGGCAGCAATTATATACTTACGTAAACGCTAAAATAAATACTATTTATTTTATAAATGCCATTTTATAAACGCTATTATATTATATTATATACTGCATAAATAAGAGATTTCCAGATACTCGCCTGAATAAAAAGAAGACGTTAATAATGTCAGTAAACCCATTTTTTAAACTGGAAGTGTTATTTTTTGAAAGCCAAAAGTCGTAATATACATTTTCATTCAAAACTGCAGTCTAGGTACACAATCAAATAAAAAGCAAGGCACATTTCCTTGAACAAAACAATAGCGCGATAATACACTTCACGCTATCTAGTACAACTTAAAATATTTTTTCTTACGTATTAAAATGACATAACAGGTAGGTACCTCAGTAACAAAGTGAGTGTCAAGGGCAAAGTTGATTTTTTAAACATTTTTTCACTAAGAATATTTTCTGGATAGCATTGTGAATGAAATTGATAACATTTATTAATTACATTTTTGTTATAAGTACATACATACTCAAATACAAATCTTCATATAAATAATGTTAGATAGATTTATTACAATGACAAATTAATTACCTAGTTACTGTGCTAACTCAATGTCAAAATGTTTTTATTCAAATAAACTTGTTTCAAGTACTTATGAATCGTCCAGCATTTTATTCCCTACCACACATTCACGACGTCTTTTGAATGATAAGAAGGTAACATTTTGACCCTCCATAAAAATTCCCACTCCTTTTTCATTTCTTTTAAGTGCTGGTTTTCGGGATAAAATATAACCTCTACCTTTCCAGAGTATTAACACTCGTAGTATCTACCTCGTGTGTTCATAAGTTTTGAGACAAACTTTTACTGAAAAAATAAAATATTACTGGCCATTATTTATATTTTTTATCGATTTTGAATTTGGAATGTAAACTTTTAGTTTATTTGAGTCGCAAATTCATTTGTTTATATTTTCTCGTGTTGATTCAGTCTCAAAACTTATTAACACACGAGTTATATATGTAGTAGAGAGAAGATGTCATAATTTAAGCAGAAATTTTAACCAAATAAACAAAAATCTTAATATTGTAAGAACTGTTAATAGTTAAAGTACTATTATTATTACCTATTAACAGTTCATACCTCATTAAAAGTTTCATCTATTGAATAAAAATATGAGTGTTAAACTACTAAAATGCCAATCTTCATAGCTATTGGTGAGTAAACAAAGAACTTACATACAAACGTTTTACCCCCTTCGGAGGGGAATTTTTTAATAATTAGTTTTTATATAACTACTTGGATCATAGACTTGGGGGACAGTGTAATAAGAGGTACAGTGTAACAAGGGGTACAGTATAACATCCTGGTTATAAATCCTTTTCTTTTTTATTTGTCTATGGCGTCTGTTCACGTATTTTAACAATCTTAAACAGCTGCCAACAAGCTTCAAATTACTGGGTGGTAATATTATAAAGCTGAAGAGTTTGTTTGTTTGAACGCAGGAATAATCTCAGGAACGACTGGTTCGAATTGAAAAATTCTTTTTGTGTTGAATAAACCATTTATCGAGGAAGGCTTTAGGCTATATAGCATCACGCTGCAATTATAAGGAGCGAAGAAATAATGAAAAACGCGGACGAAGTACCTGGCGGCCACAAGTATGAAGATAAAGACTACTAAGATTTATGATAATTAATATATTCAAAGGAAACATAACCATTCGAACGATTTAAACGACACAGTAAACGTTTTTTATTTTTCTAAAAATAAAAATGCCTTTTTTCTTACACTATACCGCAGTTTACTTTCCAAAGTTTAGGCTGTGCATTCCCTATCAGTCAATTAGTAGAGACAAAGATTCTTATAATATGACAATTATTATTCCTAAAAAACAAATTATCATCCTCAGAAATCAGGGGAAAATAGTAATGTTTCTTGAAACACACACGCCGGTAAATAAACAGGAACGTAATATTCATTGCTCGTTCAATTTTACGAGTAAGCTTGCATACGCTTCGACATTTTAGTTGCGCTTTCATCTACAATTTCATAAAAAAGAAAAACTTATCTTTGATTTAGTACAAATACAACCTCTCACGCGACAAGACTTAATTTCTTATTCAGATTATAGATTATTTGAAAACATTAAAGTATTTTTAAAATATTTTTAAATGTGTATTTCATAACCCCGAAATTGGGTAAGTGTTTTGATATTGTTACAAAAAAATCCCAAGCATAATACATCAATTAGAATATCATTCAGTTGAAATATACTATTTAATATACTTATTAAAAAAGCTTAATGATAGATATCTGATCATAATGCGATTATTTATCAGATCAGAGTGGATGGCCCAGCAACTGGATAAGTGATCTATCTTATTGCCATTATTGAATTATTATATTATCATTATAAGATCTTATCTATTGAATAGTGTATTGATCTGGTGAGTTTCTTGCTCGTTCTTCTTCTTTTATTTCAAACTCTGATTCCATTCTCGGAAAGTGAATTGTAACGGTTCTTTGAAAAATACATTTTTTATCTTTCCCTTAATCTCGGGTTCAATTCCCGGTTACGCTTTAAATAATTCCGAATATTTTATAACCTTCAAAGTAAGACGATTTTAATTCGAATAGGTACTATGTGCTTTATGTGGTTCGAATCCCGGTATTTGTATTTTTTTAACTTATAGATTATTTTTATAGCATCTTATAATTTAACTTCATTCTTGCGTTAAATCTTGATGCGAAATTATAAAAAATTGCAATATCAAATCATAATGTAAGCCTATTAATATAATATTTATACTTATTACTTTGATTTATCAAGAAATACTTCTAAAGAGACGATGACTGTAATTAATAAGTGTAGTATTGACTTGATAATGTAATTGTACGAAATGTTACTATTTAAAACAAGTAATATACTTACCCTACCGTGTAGCTACATATTATGTACAAATTTGTAAATTTGTTCGCCAGCATCCTAACATGTATTCTAAAAAAGGAGATGTTCCTTGTCATAATACACCACGCTATAAAAATAACCTAAACCAAATACTTTACACAGTTCCGGAACTTATAAAATGTCAATTAAAATTTATAATAAATTACCTGAATACCTAAAGAACGAAACAACATATACTCGATTTATAAAAATGCTAAAGAATATACTATTAAATAAATGCTATTATACAGTGAATGAATATTTGCATGAAGTTTTAGATAAAATGGAATGTCTGACCCTCTTCTTTCCATCTTCTATATTGCCATGCCTATCAAGGTGCATGTGAATATTATTAACTGAAATTTATGTATTTAGTTTCTAAGTTACATGTATGCAATGCAATGAAATAAATAAATAAATAAATTAAAAAGATTAATGTTAATGACTGCGTATTAAAAAGTATGATATCGATTTAAGTATGTAATGATACAAAAGGGAACTAATTATAAAAAGTAATTTCCAATGTCGTTCAACTATATGTTGTTATATTCCTAAAAGATAAATATGATTAAACAAGCTCAATGTAATAATTTACAAACTTAAATGTAAGAAACTCAAAAATTAGAACATTGATTGTGTTTAAAACGACATCTTGCGAAAAACTATGACAGTATTGTTTTTGGCTGTTGGCAATAGAATAAAAGAGGAACGCCGAGTCATATCAGTGGAATAAAGTGTTCATCAAATAATATTGGTTTAAATTAATGCATTGGCCCCACTTTTGAGGTTTTCCAATAATAGTTTTTATTTTTTTTTTATATTTGAACTTCTGTTCATGGGCTATGTTTATGTTCACAGGGTTCCTCCACCGGAGCCCACCTGCCCTGTGCTACTATGCGATCTACCAGTTCTCGTGGTTCACCGGTGCTGCTTGCCGAAGCTGGCGCCTCGTGTAAACCCTCACCAGCCGTTGTCCGTCCGTGACGCCTTAGACTCGACTTCAGCTCTCAATCTCCCCTTAAATTAACTTAGTATGATAAGCCCACTCTCTCGATACGCACAAAGACCATAACGAGCAAATCCGTAGGACCTAACTATTTATTTAAATACATATATTGTTCAAACTAGCTTTTAATTTTTTTTACTCTTACTTGAAGCCTCGCGCGCCCCCCATCAACTCTACCCTTCGCTTCGAACATCTAGTGCATAAATAATAATAGTGGTTAATCCTCGGCCACAGTAGTTAGGGTTCAAACTGTAGTAGCAGACCTAGGGGCGTAGTTACCACCATAACTATAAAACGGGGCCCCGGGCTACAGGAACCCCTCCAAGGCACACTACGCCACCAATGTTATTCATGAAATTCTAAAATAGAACTTCAACCGAGAATACATGTTCAGGATAATCGAAAAATATATATTGCCTAATAGAAAATTAAATTATTATTTTCATGAAAAATTAAAGAGCTTATTTTCATGGCCAACAACTTTGCAATGAGCCTAAAAGAAAAGTATATATATTTTAATAAAAAAAATACCTACAGCGAAATAAATGTGTAATGATGGCACCCGATTTAGATCTAGTCAAATAACTGATGAGAGGATATTCTCCTAAAGGCCGAGTCGCAATGAAGTATAGAGTGTAAATGCATACAAGTAACGATACCACTCACTAATCGCAACACAATGTGTTATACACTATATGTGCTCTATAGCGAAACAAACATAGGTATGTAAATGTAATGTATGTAAATACATCTGTTTATTGTTAGATTGTATGTATTCAGAGCAGACCAGTCGGCGACACGCGCTTCTATCTAATATAGACTATAGATGATATGAAATAGACTAGGTATGAATTGTATAATGACACACTTCAATATTAATCAAAAAAACTTTTCTTGCTGTCGTCGTATTTTTCAAATTAGGAGAGGAACCGCAAAGCAGTTGAACACTCGTAATCATTCAAATCAAACATTTCTTACCAACTATTAAATATAAGCAGTATAGTATGTATTAAAAACAATTCAAACCGCATATTAATGTAATATTGTGGACTCAGATAATATGTTAAAACGAACAGTTTCCACACCAAAATGTATTTTGTACAGCGGGATACAAAATTTTATAAGCAATTATACCTACCTAACATTAATGTCTTCTTTCATGGAAATCATTATAATTGCCTTTAACTTTTTTTTATCAATGTTTTTTAAAGTAATTATCATTATTATTAATTATATGTATGCAAAACGTTACCGACATCCCCCATTTTACAGCATGTGTTACCAACGTCGTCGATTAGCATAAATTAATAGTAACACTGCCCGCATGTCTGCCTGTTCGTCGGTCTGTGGGGTCGCGGTCGGCGCACCGGTGCACGGTGTCACCTTGCGTGGTCGATTCATACACCCCCCCCCCCCCCCTCCTACAGCCCGCAACCGTTGCAGTCTCCAGGCACGGTTACTATGCAGCCTGATAATTATTATCAACGTCTTATCAACTCTTCCATCACCATCCAAACGTTCACTAGAAATTTTCAAAATTGGTCCTAAATCAAACCTAGCTAAAATTTAAGGCACACAATGTACACGGTTAAGAGCATTAACGGGGTTGATAGGTTTTATCTTTGGCTTTTGACTAAGGCATCACAGAGGTAAGTTAGGATGGTATAGTTATGGCTATTTATGTATAGAATTTATATGTGCATGTAATTAGAGTAAATTACAATAAATACTCATTTAAATTTTTCGTCTTGATCTCGTGGTAGGAAAAAATTTACACAGCTTCCTCCTTAACCAGCCCCTACAGTGGGGACGTAAAAGGGCCAATGATTATGATTGACATTCAGCAGCATGTCATAAAAATCGATTAAAACGAATCAAACCAACGATCAGCCCTTCCCAGCGATGGGTGTAGCCATCGACGGGAAGGGCATGAATTCAACGTGCAAATTATTCAGCCAAGATTAACTAGATAAGCTATTTAGATTGAACATCAAACTTAAATATATAGATCAAAATGAATTATACTTTACAACTGTGTAGAGAAAGCTCCAAAATCTTTATCACACTGTACTGCCTTCCTTCCCTCAGGATAAGGGTCAAAATGGCTCAGTACCTAATATTCCCTTTCATATACATTGACAAGGGCATCTTGTGACGTCATTCCATTAATAAAACCAACTGCCCTACTTCCCTGTCCCAATTCCGGACACGCAAGGACTTGCTACAGAGTACTTATTGAATCTTTTGTGAAGATAAAACCTTACGATATTTAATTATATATCAGAAAAATTTCCAGTCACACAACTCTTTTCTTTAGATATAATGCATTTCAATTCCTTATCTTTATAGTATGCAAAGCTTTATAGTAATTATAACAATTATACGTAGGGTAGAAATAACTGCATTACCGAGGTGATGTAATTTATTAATTAAAAATTTCATCTTCGTTTATATTCATTGAAAATTCGACCTGATTTCACTGCAGCCTTTAAAGTTCAATATAAAAGTATTCTTTTGTAAGAGGCGACACAACATATTTTGATTTTAATTGAATCGTGACGTCACAGGGGCTGTTGAAGAATCTATTATACTCGGACCTTCGTCCCTCGTGTCGTGATACGCCAGAACGAAACTCACTTATCCCCGAGGAATACCTACCCGCTTACCATTCACGATTTTATAAACGCTGACTTAATGACAGCCTTACTCCCTCAAAGTAAAGACCACTTTCCTAGAAGCATGTCGCGAATACGTTAAACGATAATAATAGAAAGGGCTGGCAAGGTGCGGGGGGATCACTCTATAAATCAAATAAAAGCCTTTCCAATAAGGTTTTCAAATTTGGACGCTAAGAACCGTTACGGTGGCACATGTGAATTGAAACAAACTATATTACAAAAGACCTAGACAATTTCTACATCGTCATATAATAGACGGTCTATTAGACGAAAGCTTTTAGCATCTATACATAATTTATTTATTTTCCCAGTAAACAGATCCGAAACGGTATTGCTGAATTCTCTAATTTATCAAGTCACTTTTTTAGTGGAAAACTTCGATCTGCTTTAGATTAAGCTCATATTCAGTAATATTTTTACAATACTTTTATATACATTTATATATTTTTTACCTCCTGCCTCTCTATAAGTCCTAACTACCTATGCCCCTGTCAATTGCTTTGCACTTCAATATTCTAACTTCAATCAATTGCAATAACAAACGCAAACCTACTCAATGTACTCCTATACTCCATTCATTATAGCATTAGACAGAAGTGAAATAAGGTTCTTTTTATGGTATACTTTGTGACAAAATATCAATAATCATGTTACTTTTAAGACTGACGGCTAATTTGCTACATCGCTCACTGAATAGTACAGTGGCACAACTCAAAAACCATAATTTCGAGAAACGCTCTTCGAAGTTATTAAAATTTAATATATTTATAATTTTGAAAATCAAAATTTTTAGCATAACAGTTAAATCGTTTGTATTATATTATTACTGTTAAGTTTTTAATTTTTTCTTAAAATTATCTATGGGATGCCACCACAATGTTGTAGCGTTTTCTCGAAATAATGGTTTTTGAGTTGTGCCACTGTACTATTCAGTGAGCGACATATTCACTTAAATATCAGCTGCTATACTTAACTGTTGTCATTTAAGCTAACTATTAAACAAATTTATGAGTATATGACTAACTTAAATGATTTAATAAGTATTATAATAAAAAGTGTCCATCGTAAAGAAGCAGGGTTGGATAGTTTCGGCACGATTCTCATGTCACTATAACTCTACCAAATTTAAAACGTTGCCTAACCCCTTCAAGCGTTTCGGTAGTACAGCTTTTTAATTTTGTCAGACTATTATTTATTCATAATTGTTAAAATGGTAATCTGGGATTGTCATCCATTGTGAATGCTACTGCCTTTCTTGTTGTTTAGCCGTTTTCCGTGATGTTATTGTTTTATTTTTGTTGTTAAGTTTTGGTATATATGGACGATGCCGGTACAGGCCCGAGTGGCCTACAAAAATTACGCTCTAAGCCCCCATACCTACCCTGAAACTTTGACATTTCATGGAGTTTTTCCAATGTCTTCATCAATAGTTTAACTTATTACACTTACAATTAGAATTTATCAAAACACACAGATAGTTTCAGTTTTAATTCTATGTTGGCTTGGGACTAAAAGATGAATTTATAAAATGCTGGCCTCATCTCAACCCCAAGGTATCATAAAAAATGGAAAATCAGACTACCTAACGTTCAAAGTTTCAACAAAACTAATATATTTTTTTTAAATTTATCTTGAAAATAAAATGTTCTGCACTGCTGCTTCTATGAATGGAGTATAGTTACCCCAATAAATCTTACTGTCATCGAATCGAAGATCAATTACATGTAGTAACATGTATTTAAATAAATCTTTTATATTTAAAAACCGTCAAATAGTTAAATAGATATCGAAACTAACAAGACTCGGATCTAACCTCGCTAATAATACCGAACTAGACGTGAAATATTTAGTTCGCTAATGAATATTCTTCAAAATTAGTTTGGCAGAACCATTCTGTCTCTTCAAAAATTCAAATAAGACCGAACTGCTAAATAATAATAATGCTTTTATTAATACACAACTTACTCTTTATTCAAATCTTCATAGGAACATATTAGACACGGAACACTTATCGCACGAGATTTTCACTTCGTATTTTCAGTACAACTAACGACTTGTTCCACAACACACAACGGAGTCTTGTCACGCTCTTCGTCACTGTCTGCACGTGAGAACCTGGTGAGGTTCATGGCGGAATCGCTTTTATACACCATGGACACTGGCACGTCATCTTCATCGAGCAATTCGTGGAGAAAATCTAAACATTTCCTTCTAAAAAGTCTTTGCTTTCTTGGTGGCAGTTCTTGGTAATCGCTGTGTATGCCACGGAAGAATTGAAAGTAGGAATTGTTCTCTTCGGGGTCGAAAGCTGATGAACAGCTGTCATCATTGGAGTACGGCTCCCGTTTTGTCTCTACGGAAGCTTGATTGCTAAAAGCGAACCAAGGGTTTGCCATAAAGCTCTGCTGGATGTCCACGGAGTCAGAGGTTGTATCGTGTTCGCTTCCATTCGCCCCTTCCATATCTACTAAAGTAGGCGCATAATTTGAGAACGACGGAGGACGTCTGGTGACAAACAAACCAATCAGTAATAAATTCGGAAACAATATTGCATAGTTCAAAATTTTAATCAACAGGCATTGGGTGAACTAATGAAACCTCAGACATTTTTAGTAACACAAGAGAAGTGAGTAGATTATTAACCTAAGTTGAAACTAATTTAATTCCCAGGATTTCCGTTCAAGCAAGGCTCCAAACAAAAGCTGATTTACCATAATTTATTCTAAGGCAAAGAAAATATTTTTTCCAAACTAGGTGACCCAGTGTTACTAGGTTACCTCTCACAGTTTAAACCTTCTCTGAACAATGATAAATATATCGAAACTAAAATGTATGTATATTATTCAATGTATGTACCTTGTTCAAAATCCAATATTCGCTTACTCCGCACTGCAACAGTGCCGAAATATACGATAGATATTACAACCTTCAACCAGTACATAACGAAGCACACTCACATATCAGTAGCCATGTGTTCCCGCAGGAACTCGAGCTCGTCAGCGAGGTACCAGCGGGAGACCATGCGTCCTTTGCCGGTGCGGGCTCCATGCATCTCGTTCCGCAGGTGTCTCGAGTAAGAGTTCCGTATATGCGACCATTTCCTTCTAACGTCCGCAACTAGTGGAGTGAGAGGATTTTTAAAAATCAATTATAATTACGTCTTAGAAGTCTTTACACAGCTATGAAAGAAATACTATATTAAATAAAGCTAAAGCGAGAGATACCACAACAGCCGATAGGAAGCCAAGAATTGCTACTTATTGCGTTGGAAACGCTATTTTAAAATAAATCTCCCCTATACCGGCTGTGCACGTTACACCAACAGGTTACCTCTACTGCTTTTACTTTATATTTAAGCTTATGAGTTTATAGCGCCTGCCGTTTGATTCCTATCTGCTACTTATGATACTTTTTACAAGCTCTCCGACTCTAGGAGACGAAAGTTTGTGCGATACGAAGAGATAGTACAAAAAAGAATAATAAAAACCTTTTTCTACACCAAGTATAAAAAGGAATAGTAAAAGCCGCGGCTGCCTAAATCATTTGGTTACCAAATCATACTTTCAAATATTGTATGATAAATTATTATTAATAATGATTTTATATAAAATTGCATTAAAACTTCTCAATATAATAAATAACGTTACTAATAAATAATTGTGTTAATGATGCATTTTAAAGTCGCTTTAAATAATAATCTAACTAGTTACTTATTAGAATGCTCATTTGCTACTGATAGAGAATAGGTATTAATTAAATTCTTGTGAATCTGCTTAGTTATTATTTGACTTAGAAAAATAATAATTATGTAATTATTATAATATCGCGAATAATTATTAGTAACAGTTTTATATTTTTGTATTGCAATGTTCTGTGTACTGAAGTCATAATAACCAAAGGAGGCCGATCATTCCACGGAGTGGAAAACGACTTCGACCTTAGGAGGTAAATTTTATTCCGTAAAGATTAAAATCAATGGAACTACAACCAAAGTATTTCTGCGTGTTCTTAGTGAATAATCGCTTTAATAATAATAATAACATTCACAGAGAACCGTAGGTGTATGGAAACATAATTTGGACAAACAAAATGTACGTCTACATGTTTTTAGCCGATTCAATGCTATAACAAAAAAGATATAAAGTGATGACTTCGCCGAGTTTAGTGTAACAATTTATAATACCTACTTGAAATATTACATCACTGCTATCCGATAATCCGATATTACCTACCTCATGATCATGACAAACATTATTCGATTTCTTCCAAAAACCTTAAACTCGAATTACTACTTTTGTAGGTATTACATATTTACTCTAATATGGATAAAGTAATACAAACAAGCAATATCTATAATAGAAAACGGACATTTACTGTAAAATATTAAGTAAGTTGTTAGTGAAGATGGCCAAAAAATTCTCCGTCTTTGGCATTTTAAATCACAACTTTATTAATATATCGCGCAGTAACCTACTTATGTTTCTTATTCCCTGCACATAAAGTACAGTTCCGTCTGACTTCAATACACATCTTGGGTTGAATATTGCAAGTCCTTCTGAGAGTTATTTTTGGATCCAACCGGTTTATAAACATCTACTGTTCATACATAAACAAATAGATAAACTAGATTGTTTTTATTACATTAAAAGAACAATGTCAAAAACTAATTTGAAACATAAATAAACTACGAATCTTTTGTTATATTCGAACGAGGCACGTAAACAGATAACGTTATCTATTCACCGTAACACTATCATAGAGGAATCGGTATGTGAATAATAGAATACAACACAGTCCTTGAACTTTCAAATTGGTAAAAATTGGAAATAATGACGCATTATGCCAGATACGTTTCTCTGTGTACATTGCAATAGAATAAACAACACACGCTATGTGAGTAGCGTCGACAAAATCATACCTACCCGTCCATCCCATGTGCTGCGCGACCTCGTTCCACAACGCCTTGACGCGAGTGTAGTAGCTAGCGACCGGCATATTGTTCCTGGCGTAGAGGAGCCGCCGCTCGCGCACCAGACGTATCATCTTCCGGTCGTCAGCCTGGCTCGAGTCCACCATGCGGCCCACATCGTTGCGCGACCCACCACCGTCTTCCGAATCACTATGCTTCGGCATTTCACACGAAAACTACGTCATGCCCCCGCGAGCTCGATATGAAGACACGGCAACGCGCATAGCGGCAAACAGACACGCGCAACGAGAAGCAAGCGCGCAAACACGGCCGTCTCGCTCGCACGCACGGCCACGTCACTCGTACGAACGGCGCGGATAGCGAAACACGTGAAAAAGCAAGAGCGCAGACGCTCGGGCCGGGCTGTCGGTCGCCGCCTCGCCGGCCACTTTTATAAATTCCACACCAGCGCGTATCGATTAGGCAGCGCGCGGACGGTTGGCTTCGGACGCTTGTTTCCTCTGTAATTCTCGTTTCGCACTATTTATCCGAATAATTCTAAAGTAGATTGATGATATCGATTTACAATGTAATGTGGCTAGAATTCAACCGGCATATAAAGGACTGGATAATCTGCTTACATCTTTTTCTATTGTGACTAAGCTATCGATAGGTTTACTTATAATTTAGTGGAAACAAGAAAATTTTCCTAATGAAAATTTCAAATATGAACTACTTTCTATAACCAAATCGATAACTTAGGTACTTTGTGGTAGGTGCCTATTTGATTTTAGCAGTTAACTGCGAAAATCTCCGTTTTTAGAAATGGCGATACGGTCGGTATCGAATTCAATTTATACATACCTAATCAAGTATCAGTTTTTATCACACCTGTTATGAGAAAACTCCGCGTTGACGGCGGCTCTTTATGTTTTAATTTATTTTATAATCAGAATTTTATATGACTTAAAAAATATTTTTCTTTTTCTTGATAATAATTTATCTTTTTATCAATTTACTGCAGTCCACACTCCTCCTGTCGGTAACACTCTTGATACATACAAGTTTTTAGCATATGTATGTTGATATGTTAGTGAAATAATATGATTACAATATGTTAACATGTCATAATGAGACGATTTCAAGAGGACGTTAAGAAAAGCTTATTAACTTTTCTTGATATTGAGGCACCTAATATAAGAGATTAACTTTGAATTGATTTTAACAAAGAAATAAAGTCCATTAAAGCTGTTATTACGAATTAGAATATGTACCTACTATAATAGGTACGTGTAGTAAGGTACAGACATTCTTATTTGGTCGTTTTGTGAATTTATAAAAAATAAGAATATTGCTAGTCTTAAGTTATTTTTGTCTAAAATGGAATAGACGACAGTGTATTACCAACAAAACTTTATACCTAGAGAAATAGTCAATAAATGATAATCGACAGTCTGTAATTTGTATGTCGAGTAAATCAGGCATTCAATTAGGCGGCTAGCCATTAGTTGGTGAATTGCGCCAATCAATTTCACGCCTAGTTTTCTAGTTGAATCATAATTTTTGATTTACCGTTCAACAAGGCGGTTGATTCAAAAGCCGCTAATACGTTCATTTAACTTTAGACATGTGTTAAAAAAATAACGATGCGTTCAACTACACGCATGATCAAAGTATACGGTTAATTGAATAGCGTCATTCGTTTAAAGGGCTAGCCACCACCTTTTTTAAGTTTGTAAAATTTTCTATTTCAGATAAACACAAATCACCTAATAATATTGTCTCAATCGAATACAATTTTTTAATACATTGAAAAGTCGCTGTGTATTAATTCCTATATATTATTTACATTTCAATTTGAATAAGAAATACGGGGCTTCAAATCTTCTGACGTTTACGTTATAATCGCAACTCAGCAGTGCCTCAACTAGTTGCACTTTGCCATTGTACTATACATAGGCAGGTAGACCTAAAGGCAAATACATTATTAGTGCAATGTCTTCTTCACAAATTCACGGTGACTGACAAGCGACAGACAGATATATTTATTATTTTGTGATCTTGTAACAAAAACTGTATTTAAAGAGTTTATGCAATTGAAGAGCGATTGACTTTCCATAATTTTACTAACATTGGCAGAATTGCCTAATGGTCGTAAAATTTGGCTAAATTTCAATTGGTTTTGAGTAATATTGAACAAGAATCTATCAACGATTTTAATATGATTTGCTATCACATGGTTTGTGTCATTGTCATTATTAGGTACTGTGATATGTTTCTTGTTTTGATTGTTCTTGTTTGTAAGATTTCCCGCAGTATTATTCTGTTAAAACGCCTGTAGTGCTGAGACAGGCAGCACTGTGCTCGACGTTGCTCTTTTATTAATATTTATGTCAACAGCAGGGAAATGCTGTTCAGACAAATATTGGACGATTCCAAAGTGCCTTTAATAAGCTTATTTGAATAAAGAATATTTTTGATTCGTTTCTTTGTCACAGTTCAAAAAAATTTACGTCAATTTTTATAAAACTGCACTTTATAAAAACGCTTAAAAATCAAAACATTTTTTTTGTTTTAATTATTTAATTATATAAAATCCTCTTTTGTCCCTTAAAAATATTTACCTGTAAAATAGCAAAAGCAAGACAAACACAGAGAATGTTGATCCTGCACAATGTTGAACCTTCGATGTCTAGCGTCCGCTGCGCCATATTCTCATCACTCAATGGTTTATTTAATTGCTTTTTCACTTATAATTATTAAACATTTTTATTTCGGACTCATGTATAAGCTTGTGTAATTGAAATTTTATTTCAGCTTGGTCTGTTGGAGGTAACGTCTTTAACTGCTTACTCATTGATAAAAAGAAATGATCGTGTTCATCCATATCTGTTATTGTTCTCTTGAGTTTCACGGCATGAGATGATTTCATTATATCTACCATATCTCTTAGTAAAGCGTCGTCGCTCTCACTTTTTATCCTATGTTTTGCTGTGTTATTAGCTATAACTTGTGATGACGAGGCCTCCGGAGCAGGCGACTGGGCAGGAGGAGGGGGAGAAGCTGCCGATTCATCGGAATAATGCAGTTCAGAATCATGGGTTGAATCTTCATCGTTTGTAAAATTGTTACTACTAGAATTTATCGCAGCCAATTTTCCATCAATAAAGGGCATTAGAAATTCCATCTCCTTTTCAAATTTCCATGGATACTTTAAATTACTTTTCTTACGCCGTCTTTGTAATGCAGAGTTATATAAGTTTCGTAACTTTCCCCATCTCTCTTTTAATTCTTCGGCTGGAAACAAAAAAAGAACGACATTCATAATTTGCTTGTCCCTTGTCTTTAATTGCCATTCCACCATCACCACAACATTCACTCCTCTCTTACATATATGTATAACCTTTCAGACAGTATGCATTCTTCTTTTGTCTTCCTCTTCTTACTTTCATATAACCCACTTTAAAAAAAATAACATATTCCTAAGACCGCAAGCTTAAGTCGTTAAAGCCTTTGTTAAATAAAAATCTAAACCACCGAAGGTACTGTGTACCACAATGACTGGTCATAAAAAAAGCTTATAACCTAACTGAAAATCAAACCCGAGACCTCAAATATGGTGACACCGATGTGCGAATACTTGACCATGGACTATTAGTCAGGGAGTTTTCGTCAGAATTCAACTGAAGAAATAAATTGAAAAATGCGACAAATATTTAACAATAATGTATAAAGAATTAAAAAAGATGAACAAAATCGGAACTATTATTGTGGTTCTAGCAGAGCTATTATTGATACGGTGCAGGTAAAAATGATCTTCAGAACAATGGGACCTGGAATATTTAAATATCCGGCCATTCGGTCGTGCCGTGGCCGTGGCCCTCGTAGAGTAAACTCATAATAAAACGTGTTCTCACTAAGTATCTCATGCCAGTTAAGGGAACGGCCATCAAATATTCATAAAAACTTTAACACAATACCTAGGTAGGTATCTATTTATTCAATTCACGATAAGTTAGGTATGTGCCGTGATAACGTTTGTAATCAACGGAATGATTACAGAATAAAAATCTTTGAATCTTACCGGGTGTATTAAGTTGCTCCGCGATTTCTTCCCACGCTATATTTCTCACAGTTTGATCCCGGTATTGACTAAAAGTTTTATTATATAAAACGGGACGTAGCTTAACATATTCAATTAATTGCTCGTCTGTCATTTTTGTTATTAATGTTAAAATATGGTAATATTCTACGAATATATCGCACTAGCGCGTGTCATCGGTCGTTGCCTAAAAATACACTGCGGTGCGGTGCGGGACGGCGTCGCGCGGGCACCGTGTTTACACACACTAACGTCGTTGATTGATGAGCATGTGTGCGTATCGCTATCGTGTTGCCACAAAATAGACCTATTCCGTGCGGGGCCGTGCGTGCCGTGCCACAGTAATATTATGCGTTGGATAAATTAAACTACTTTATAGAAAGATCTTTTGCCAATAGATAATTCGTGTCGATTGTTTTTCCTACCTACTCTCTTACTATTAAAATACATGTACTATAATAGGTACGTAATGTTTCTTCTTCTTTGTCAAGAAAGGGGCCATTCATAAATTACGTCACACGTTAAGGGGGAGGGAGGGGGTCGACGAAGTGTGACATTTTATGACAAGAGGGTGGGAGGGACCTGACGTGACGTCACATTTCAAAATCTATTATAATATGAATGTTAAAACACGAACTTTAAACTCTTACTTTACAAAAGCTTTGCAAAATATGTGACATCACACTAGGAGGGAGGAGGCTTACAAATGTGACCAGCTGTGACTAGGACAGGGAGAGGGACAAAAGATCATGAAAATTGTGTGACATAATTTATGGATTACCCCAAAGTCAAACATATTCATTTGTTCCATAAATTTGTAAGTTGTCTTAAAAGACACTGTAATTTGAGGCAAAATTAATTTAACTTTATTTGTGGTAAATTTATCATGTAAACTACAAACGATCTCGACAAATATTAATAAGATATCGGGTCCTGAGTGGTAAGTGTAAGTTTTACGCTAACACGTTCACTAGTGAGCGCGTTAAGAATTTGTATGGAGATTTTTAGTTCTTGTTAGTTACCGCTAGGGGCGCTGTACCGGATTCCATACTAAAATCTTAACGCGCTCACGATCGACAGTGAACGTAAACGTCAAAAAAACTTACACTAAGCGCTCTGCTACATACCTATACTATTCCGTAATAAAAGCAGTCATGTAGCTTTCCTTGGGTGAAAGAAATTTCGAAGCCTCTTTAATGCAAACTTTCAAATATTTCCTCTATATTTACATTACACTAATAGTCTGATGATAATTTTGATGGCCACTTCTCCAGTGTTGAAAAAGACGCATTGTGATTTTTTTCTAAAAATAAATGTGATTCTGATCCAGTGATCTGTTTATAATGATATGATTTCTAATTTATTGACGAACTCTCAATGGTGTGGCGACATATCTTTTTTTTTTTAAACCGAAGCAAGTTTTTTATTCTCATGATATTTTTAAAACCCGGGCGTGTAATGGCCGTTTTCTGAATTGGGAAATGTGCAAAGTCTCTACTGATTATTCTCAATAGATTAAGTTTGTTATTTTTCAATAACAAAAAGAACTACTTTTATCAAAAAAACGAAAACATGTTTAAATAATGTTTAAGATAGATTAGGTACGGCTTGGGCCGTGTTTAAATTTAAATTTTCTGATGAGAAACCGGGTTAGTAATTCTTTATACTTAGGTCAAGAACTTATTTATTATTTTTGGCCTGGTAATATCAGAAATAGGGCTTTTTACATTTTTTCAGCTTCATAATTTTTTAATTACATAAATTTATACCAGGCCTTTTTATTTGATATGCTTTGATATTTAAAATCAATCAATTGAAGTAGTAACCTACAAAATAAGAATCTCTTGTAAGTTTGTTCATTAAAACACCGGCGTGTTAGCGGTGTGCCGGTGCCGGTAGACGCAGGTGCCGCGTTACTTTTGAAAGCTTTTATCTCTACCATTCAGAAACTTATACCATAAATTCGCGCGAAATGAGCGAAGCAAAAGGATATAGCTAGCTTAAATAGGGCTACCAATTCTAAACTTTCGAATCTACTATGACTGAGTGTCTATCTATAGTTCTATATAAATAAATATTATAGGGTTGGGGAAAATGTCTTTTCGCATATAATATGCATTAACTTCTAATAAAATCTTTCTGGCTATAACATTTGTATCTGGCTGGTTTCGATGTCATTAAAAAGATTTAATTTTTAAGAACATAATTCCGAATTCAAATTAGGAAAAAGTGTGGCTTTCATTTGTTTTTATTGATGTCAAAATGAGTGAATCTAATGAAGAAATTCAATAAATTTTTAAATTTTATTACAAAAAAGGTAAAAATGAAACGCAACGTTTATAAACCTAGTGCAGTTTCTGTGGGAGTAGCACAAATTTTGTTTAAGCGTTTTTAGTCCGGATATTTTAAAATGGATGCCATTTTTGATAATTTTGCTGAAAATAAATTTAGTTTTGGCGCATTTGCAAATCTTGGAACTCAAATTTGACCCACTTCCCAATGTCCGATGGATTTGAAATTTTGCATAGACATGTAAGACATATGACAATGGAATAGTATGGTGTCAGTAAGCTGATATGATGATGAAATCGGAAGGTATGTAAGGAACTTGCCAATTAAATAACGCATCTGTATAATGTTTGGGCTTCTTATATCCGTCTTTAAAAGAACAACAATATATTGAGAAAAGAGTAAAAAAATAAAATATAATAAAAAAAGTTTTTTAAAAACAAGCTTTTATTTGTGCTCACTAAAACGTTAATAAATAAATTCTAAAGATTTAAAGTAGTTATAATAAAAACTTCTGTAACAGTAATTCACATCTGTGACAGTAATTGACTTGAAAATCTTGTGGCCCGTAAAAAGTATGTATATTATTTTACGTTTCGGACCCTTTACGTTCCGTGTTCACATAATACTTAGATGTTGATTATTTTATGATTAAGGGTATAGCTACCTTCAAAATAATACTATTGAACACATTCACAATACAAAAAAAAAATGGAAACGTTTACCTTGTCAGACATAATAGAGGTAATTTTATATCTCAAATAACTTTTTAGTTTATAAAGTTAGTTACCTTTTGGTAAAGCTAATATTATGTTGTTTTTAATAATGCATTAAACTTGGTCTATAATTAATTTATTTCTTTATTATTCCGTCAATAATATTTATTAAAGTGAATATTTCTCGAAACATTAATCTAAAGTTGCGAGCGCATAGAAAAGACACTCGTTTTTCTAAAATCATCTTTCCAATTTAACACGTGAAAATATATAAAAATCATTTAGGCATCTTCTTTGGAAAACGAATGGATTTTTTTTTAAGTTTCAATGTTATTCTGGACTTAATGTAACGTAGGAGTACAAAGTAGTTTGTGAATATCGTATAGCAAAGCTCGCACCCCAGATGGGGCCGCTGCGCCTATAAAATTGACGTGGCGCGATCTCGCTGATTTCCGCCCAAATACTGGGATTCAACCTTTTATCGCAAATTGGCATCATTTTTACGAGGGCTGTCCCCGCTCTACTAAATTTGAATTTGCTCGCACCCCTGATTGAATATAAATAGATTTTTTAATTAACTTCCACATCTGAAATGAGGTCACAACTGAATCTTTTTAGTAGAATTTCTCCTATTATAAATCATTCCAATTAAATTATTTTAATGCAATTACATAGCGCAAATATTTACATGGAGCCTTGAAATAAAACACGGTCTAGTCTTATGTGTACTTTTATATATTTTATTTTATCAATTTACGAAATACCTATAACCACTATTTATGTTTCATGGTACCCCAACCTACCCATGCCCTAACGCTACTCGGAGCAGACTTTGAGAACGCTGCTCTACGGCACAATGAACACCGTAAGGTAGTCAAGTTATTGTGCAAACAGGAAATGTTTTGCCGACCGACATCCGCTCCTGCTGCCTGGAATTGCGATGTAACCGCATCTGCTGTGACGTCAGCGACCACAGTGACGTCACAGGACGCGTGCACTGAAGGGGTGGTACGTCACCCTTTTTTGTCGTGGGTTATATTGTATTTGGATCTTGCAAACACGCTCTGTATTATGCTTCCTACTATTAAAGGAATATATTTTGCGCCTGCGCAGATGTTTTATGCAGCGTTTAACCAGTGACGGAGAGCTAATAGTTTACAATATATATAATATTATTATTGCTAACTCTTCGATGAAAAAACGATATTATTTTGTCACCCAAATGTAAACTGCGGACAGTTTACATTTTGCACATCAGTGACCACAGGGTTTGCTCAGCTTTAAACGAAAGTCTTTGCTCAAAGATACCGCCAGTTGGCCTGAGCCGCCGGCGCCGGCCGGTTCCCTGACAACGTTGTCATCTGATTCTAATGATGATTTTCTAAGTCTATTTATTTTTACTGAAAAATGTCTAGTACTGGGTAACGACCACTTAAATAATAAGAGTGTCGTGATGGACGGCTCAGTGTCGTGTTGCCTATTTGTCCAGTAACCCTTTCGCGTTGTTAATGCCACAGCGGAGACGTTCATTAACGCCCATCCGCTTTAATTATGAGATGAGTAATCACCGCAAAATAATATTAACTTTATAATATGAAAACAAGACTTCGGTTTCTGAATTCATCATCAAAGTGTCAAAGCCCATTAAATGTACAGAAGAATTTTAGTTTTACAGAAGAATTTGCAATGTACTTTAATAGATTATATTCCTTTTGCGATAAAAATAATGTATTTGATGATGCTCAAAACGGATTCCGAAAGAATCGATCTTCGACATTGGCCACTTTCAAGTAATGAGGTTCTAAATATTTTAAATAATAAGAAATTAGCTATAGGTATTTTAATTGATATGACTAAAGCTTATGAAAAAGTTTCATTCGGTACCCTATTAAACAAATTATACCGAATAGGAGTACGCGGAGTACGTCCACGGTTGGTTCAGATCCTATCTCGTTAATCGGATGCAATATGTCGAAATTGAAAATAATAACGAAAAACCACATAAAGTCTCATCAGTAGGATCGCAGGTACGGAGGGTGGAGGGGTCCATTCCTCAGGGAAGTATCCTCGGATGTGTTCTCTTCATCATATATATAAACGACCTCCCGAAAATCTTAAAAGAGACGTGCGTAATGTTCGCTGACGATTTTTCATTGCTACTATCTTGTAATAATGACACAAACCTAAATTATAAAATATTAACTACCTTGACAAAAATTGTAGAATGGATTAAAGACCACAATTTGGAAATTATTTTTTCTAAAACCGAATAAATGCAATTTAGACCACGTCAGAACGCCGAAACTTCTCTTATGAAAATATAAAAATTGATTGTACTCCTTCCATTTCATTGCTCGGTATTGTAATTGATTCAAACATTAACGGAAAATCTCACGTGCAAAAAGTAAAAACAAAATTATCCCAATTAATTTACGCCCTAAGAAAACTAATAAAGTCTACAAATATGAATACATTCTATTGCCGCTTATTATTCGTACGATTACGTCTGGCTTAATTATGGTGTGAAACTCTGGGGGAACAGGGGCCAATTCTACTAAATAAATTTTGTGTATCAATTTTATATCGTAAGTGACATAGAATACAATTCCAGCTAAAATAGAACTGGAATTGTATCGTATGTCACTTTGTAGAATAGGAAAACCATTAAAAACTGTAGTTTCGTTCGGTGTCGATCCGTTTTCGATTAGATTTAAACAAAATTTATTTAGTAGAATTGGCCCCCATCACAGACGCGCAAGACCTGTTAATATTGCAAAAGAAATGTAGCCGCCTTCTAACAAATATTGAACGAACTGATAGTTGCACATTTTAGAAATTTAAATATACTTACCCTACCGTGTATCTACATATTACAAATTTGTAAATTTGTTCGCCAGCATCCTAACATGTATTCTAAAAAAGGAGATGTTCCTTGTCATAATACGCCACGCTATAAAAATAACCTAAACCAAATACTTTACACAGTTCCGGAACTTATAAAATGTCAATTAAAATTTATAATAAATTACCTGAATACCTAAAGAACGAAACAACATATACTCGATTTATAAAAATGCTAAAGAATAGCCTATTAAATAAAAACTATTATACAGTGAATGAATATTTGAATGAAAAGTTTTAGATAAAATGGAATATGAATATTAATAACGGAAATTATGTATTTAGTTTCTAAGTCACATGTATGCAATGCAATGAAATAAATAAATAAATATTACTAATTATTATCAAGCCTAGAAAAACAAATATTTGTTTTTAATTTCTTTTTCCCTCATTTCCTCATCGTTGGATGCGACAAGAATAACATTTTTTTCTATATCAAGCGTTTGAAATCAATATCATTTTTTCCTTTTTAGTGAAAGGAGGTCGAACGACGGAAGTCACTTTGCTGATTTTCTGCCCCAGTGACAGGTCGCCAGATGATCGGGATTGGTCTGGATTGTCCCGACTTTTCGGAGGATGTCTAGAGCCCCGAAAAATAAGGAAATGTCCCGTCAAATGTTAAATAATTGATAAAATCAATCAATCGCTCGGTAACGGCTAAAACAACCTTCCATTATCTTTATTTTTTAATTAATAATCATTATTTTTTGAGGCGAATGATGATTGTATCAATTTTCGTCCCGAGTAATCTTATATTTACTCTACCCATCTGGATAGTGATGTCAAATGTGGGTGGCGCTGCCGAGTCTCGTTCAAAATTTATGGAAAAAATTCTTATCGTATTGATTATAATATACACAAAATAGAGACTCAAGAAAAACAGAATAACAATGTAATCTATATATAGGTATATAAAAGCGAAAGTCGCTACTCACTCACTCACTCATCACGAAATCTCAGAAACTACAAGTGCTAGGAGTTTCAAATTCAAATTGCAATTTTAGAACATAAGTGCTCACCACAGGTGCTCACTAAGACGAGATCCCTAATGAGATAAATTAGGGGATGAAAGATTTTATGGAATTTTCTCATTACTGGACTTAAACCTAGACCACGCGGGAAAAAGCTAGTTAATTTGTATAATTGGAAGCACTTTAGAATCGTGACTGGTGACTACGCCAACGTGCGTCAAAGTGAGAGGAGTGGTAACGCACCATAGAGAGTGTGTGTAAGTGAATGGCAATGGAAACACTGACGACAAAATGACAAAATTTTGTATTTCGATATTTTTATTTTCTAAACTAGCTTTAACATTGTTTTTATTTTCAAAATTGTTAATGGTTTGATTGTATAACTTAATATTATTTCATATTATGTGTATTTGTGAAAGAGATTTGTATTTTTTCCATTGTATTTCGTTATTTTTGCGGAGCAATTTATTCTCTCGGCGGGAGTTGAACAATGAGTTGAATGAGTATTGGAATGAAGAACGAATTGTAGTAGCTTCACTTTTTGGTACGTATTGCGTATCTAGACATATAAAAATCATTGGTATTTACTTACTCTGAAGCAAAAACGATTTCCTTTAGCTACTAAATAAAGACCTACAACCCAAGACTATGATTTAAATGTATTAGTAGCTTTATTTATTTACTTGGTTAATACAAAATGTATGCAAAAAATATAAAGCTTAATAACAATAAAATCACAATACAATAAATACTACACAGCGCTTACAAGGAACGCTAATTACAATATTTCAGTATATTCCTTCAATTCGAATATAAAAAAAATATTTCTATTATTTGAATGTAATGTTGTGTAAATGTAATGTTTCAGAGTATCTATTTACCTTGGCTTTTTGCATCGTATAATTTATTAAACTTACTTTCACAGGTAGAGGAAATAGATGTTTTTTTAATAAATCGATAGTTTATTTTAATTTTCAATATATTATGTTAATTAATTTAAAAGCGTTCGTTTATCATTACTTTTCAACATTTTTATTTCAAAGTCGTGTATAAGCTTGTGTATTTGAAATTTAATATCTGCTTGATCCCTTGGAGGTAATGTTTTTAATCGCTTACTCATTGATAAAAAGAAATGATCGTTTTCATCCATATCTGTTATTGTTCTCTTTAGTTTCATTGCATGAGATGATTTCATCATATCCACCATATCTCTTAATAAAGCGTCATAGCTCTTACTTTTTATTGTATGTGTGGTAATAATATTAGTAGCTACATCATGTGATGTGGACCCCCCTTGAGCAGGCGACTGGACAGGCGAAGGTGAAACTTCAGAGTCTTCAGAATCACGTGTTGAATCTTCATCGTTTGTCACATTGGCATGTTTATTTGTAATTCTATCATCACTACTAATATTTGTGGTGGATGTGTCGTCATCGATTATAATACTGTCAATACTAAAATTTGTGGCAACCGATTTTCCATCAATAAACGGCATTAGAAATTCCATCTTCTTCTCAAATTTCCATGGATACTTCAAATTTGTTTTCTTACGACGTCTTTGTAATGCAGAGTTATATGCGTTACGTAACTTGGCCCATTTCTCTTTTATATCTTCAACTGAAAATATAACAAACAGATGAAAATTATACAGATACTAAACTAAGTAGCTGACGCTTTCGGTTATAGAAATCAGAAACAGCAAATGTACCACAGCCTGAGCATACACAGAAAAGTTAATTTCCTACTTCAAAAATTAATTTGAAGAAATATAGTGTCACAGACTCAATTAGCCGCCCACCGGGGTTTTCTTGGATAAGTATTGGATTATTTAAAAAGTATGATACAATGACAATTAAAAACAAAAAACGCTAGACGTAATAATATCCGATCCTTGTTGTACGTATTAAGTCCATGTTGTGATATGCAAACTCTATTTTACATATTTGCTTTTTATTGTTTACTCGCGTCGCTAACAACTCTTGAATGAGTTCGAATACCATACGGAAAATTGCGAAAAGGTGCGGAAAATGTTCTAAAACTCTAAAATACAATGATAATCTAAAAAAGAACTACATAACAGGATGTTGTGGAAAGTATGTGCAACCTATGCAGGTATAAATGGTGTTAAGAACAAAGATCCCTAAGTTATTTTATTTACCGGTCGCGCAGATTATGCCTGACATAGAGTCGAGGATGCTATCATCGTCTTCACATCAAAGTAACGTGCCAATTTTGGGAATGGTCGATAAAATTTGTTTTCACGTGTTGTAAGTAACTATTAATTAGTCTGACAAAATATAAAGTCCTTATCGACTTACTTACAAACTTACAACCTTCAGAGCAGAATCGAATAGCTAAACTTACCGGGTGCATCCATTAGCTCCGCGATTTCTTCCCACGCTATATTTCTAACAATATTATCCCGGTAGAGTCCTTGACTCTTGTCATATAAAACGGGACGTTGCTTGACATATTCAATTAATTGCTTATCTGTCATTTTCGATAGTAATGATATAAAATAGAAATATTTTACAAACTAACGCGTAGTATCGGTCGGCGTCTAAAAATACACTGCGGTGCCATGCGGGGCGGTGCGGGGCGGCGTCAGGTCAGGCAGCGTGGTGGCCGCGTGCTCGATGTGAGTGGATGAAGTGTTGGCATGTGTGCGTGTCGCCTCGTGTCCTTCCGGGCCGCGTCGTGTCTCCTCGGTCGGAATGTGTGCCTTAGAATGATGACTAAAGCCTAAAGCATAAAATTTATGATAAACATAAGAGCTGAAAAATTGCTGTAAATCTCATAATACATAACTCAATTGAATTTGCCTGTTTTTGCTTATTTATTAAGATTGTAACAAGTCGATTGTCAACTGGTTACATATTTGGATGTATTTACATTATAATTTACAAGATAATCGGTATGTCTCTGAGAAAAAAATATAATTATTAAAGTATTATTCAAAGGAAACACAAAACAGTGTTTGCGATAGAACTTGTATAATCATGGGCTACAAATCTCAGACAGGAAGAAAGGAAAATACTGAAGAAACGGTAACCTTTCATCGGTGAATTATGATTGTTTTCGACTTTATTGAAATCAGTGAATTGCCTGAAACTTTATTATTAAACTAATGGTACGTGTAAGTATTACATTAAATAAAAGAAGGAATGTACCATCACTTTTGAAAAAAATATAACCTTTATGATAGGTTATGGTTTTTTCTAATATTATGTATTTCTATATTGATAACACAATTTTATTATATTCTACTGCAACAATGACAGTTTTAGCGCATTTGAAAAGGGCTGGATACAATAAAAAAATCAAAAAAAAAAATCTAATAACTATCGTTATATAGCCGAGACCCTAAAGATTTCTTATGGCAGCGTCTGCAAGATGGGTACCTAGAATGTTGACAGATGGTCAGAAAAAAGCCCTAAACAAAAATCCCTTGATGCAAGACGATATGGATTTTTGCGACGTTTGAAGACGAGACGTGGGTACGTATTTTCAATACCGAAACGAAAAATAAAAGTACGCCTGGAAAAGACCATCATCACCAACGCCGACAAAAATCCGGGTTAAATCGTCGGCTGGTAAAGTTACGGCTACTGTATTCTGGGATACTGAAGGAATAATCCTCGTTGACTATTTATATGTAGGAGCGACAATTGCCAATTCATATTATGCATCATTGATTAGAAAACTTCGCGAAAGAAACAAAAAAAGACACCGTGGAAAATTGAGCTACGTCGTGCTTTTTCATCACGATAACTCAAAGTCAAACCAAATATAGCTTGCTCGCACAGCGTGAGGTGAGCGAGGGGAGGGGAGAGCGGCTTTAAGTTAAATTACATTTTTTTTTGTATTTAACTGTTTAAGAAAGTACGAGTAATTAATAATATTTTTAGTATTTTTTATCATCCAATAATAGTTCTAGGTAATTCTTACTTATTGTGGTCTCGGACCGGAGACTTATACTCTGATTCCGTTCGTAACACCAGAAATGTCCAGGAAATGATCAACCTGGATCTGGTAACCCTCTCCATGTCGGTCGCTACCCTAACGTCCGCCATCCTGTCATGCCGGTCATGATTGTTATATAATGTTTAAATGTATTAAATATCATTCAAATAAGTAAGGACATTGAAAAGTGAAACATGACTAAAGTTTTATCAATAAAAAAGATTACACAGTCACCTCAAAAATGCACCATGTTAACTTTTTTCATTTCTTCTGTATTTAAACTCTTTAAATAAAGGGGAAATTGATAAATATCAGAGTCACTTTGTGACACAGCAATCTACACACGAAGTGCGCTCCAGTGACGCACACATTGACACCGCTCACGGACACGATATCTCGGACCGAATAGGACCAGTGCGAGCGCGAGTGCCAGGTGAGACGCGCGTTTGTGAACGTTTTGTGTGAAAATGGATCAACAGAAAAAAAGTTATTACAACTGTTCAGTGGACGGTTGTTTAAATTCAACATTAAATACAGAATTGTCGTTTTTTAAGCTACCAGCTGTACCAAACAAGTAAGTTGTTTATGACGCGCCGTATTACGTACACAGGCGTGGCCAATTACGAAACGCCATTTTGTAATGCGACTAATTGTGCTGAGACGTATTGTGGCGTCGATACGTTCTAGAAAGCGCCGTCCACTGTTTGGTATGTGGTGTTTAGCATAAAGCAAGGTAGGCTGACAACATAAATAATATTATTCAGACATTTAAGATAATTTCAATTTTCAAACTAGCTTGGTCTAAGTACGACTTTTTTGATTAAAAAAAAAACTTTATACTTTGAAAACAATAACAGCCAATACCATATAGGTATTATAAATGTAATTCATAAAAGAATAGCAACACAGGTACTATAGTGGTACATACTATATTTAAACTTGTTTTAAACTAAAATCTTTATCACTGTGACGGAATCGGCACTTAGATGTTGGTAGTAAATGAAATGTCTGACTAGTAAGTAAGTATATTTATGATGTAAACAAAAAAACGAATATAAAAACAATTCGTTTGGATTTCTAAAATTATGGTAGGTTTTCCTCAATAAGTTGAACTTACTAAATATTTCAAGAAGATATCTTTGTTTATATATTTATATATACGTATGTATTTGTCGCGATTCAGAAAGAGCATATCGTGTTACTCAAAATTTCAAATAATGTACTAAAAGTGAATAATAAAAAATAAATTATTCTAAAGGTCACAGACAAAAAGTTTGGATGCGGAAATTTAGGACATAATAAACGATGTAGTACGACGCACAGTTACATGGTGACCATATCGATATCTTGCCCGTCTTAATCACGAAAAAGCAGACTTTTCAGGAGAAGCAAATCTCTAATATAAAAGTTTTTGATTCTATAAATATGATTCTTACACCAAAAGTCGTTAATGTTTATGGTACATGATATATTAAAAGAAAACGTATTAAATAAATATTTATAATTTAAAATTTGCTGGTGAATACTAAGTCAAACATTGTTTGCATTTTACGCTCTTTAAAATGATTACCTGTCTACTACCTACTGAGTGGTGACTAGTTCTAGAGGGTTACGCCATACAATTTTACACTACTGCCCAAAAAAGGATTTTATTATATTTAAGGTTAATTTATGTGAGCTTCTTTATGCCACCATAACTTTTGTTATCTTTTTATTTAGATTTTCACATGTGGCGTGACAAAAAGTAAGGATAAATTTTTGGACGATAATCTCGAATAAACAGGGAGCATAAAGCTGAATCTAATATTGACTGTCATTTATTTAGTTATTGTTGATATTCGGAATTATACTTAGAAAAAGCTAAAATTTTATTATTTAAATCTGACGTTATTCATCAAAATCACAGAGTGTGACCTGTCTCGTTGTCTCTATACATATACCTGTCTTCTGACTTGACTTCTGTTTGTTTGTTAAAAAGTAACTCGGAATCTTCGATAATCAATTATTTTATAGAAAAATGTATATTTTTTGTTGTGTAACGTTTTGGTGTTGTAATTGTATTTGTCACGATATATTGATCAAGTTTGCATTCACAATTCTATACCGAAAAATATTCTTAACGAAAAAGCTTAAAAATCCAATTTGTCCCATCTCAGATTGCCAAGGAAAAAATTAGAATTTCGAAGCATTTTTCATTAAAAATATTGTAATTGTATGTTTATTATTTTGTTTTTATATTGTAGATTTTTTTTGCTTTGCAGACATACTGCGTGTTTGGAATAACCCCCTCATTCGCCCCGCCCATTTTGACCTTAATTCTTATGACAGTTAAATAAAATCTATCTTGTTTCAGGCGAACTGAGTGGTTGAGATTGATTCATAGAGAAGATTTAACAGATTCAAGTTGCTGTCGTGCCCGTGTGTGCGAAGCTCATTTTAGTCCTAACTCCATTAAGACAAATTCAAGTCGAAAGTTGTTACAAAAAAATTCAATGCCGACACTGCTCTTACCATTACAGAATTTTGCAAATAAAGAAATTCAGGCAATTGTTGAAACAGCCGATGCAAATGTACAATGTTACTATGGATTTCAAACGAATGCTCAAGTACAAACACCATTACACCTTTTATATGATGCTCCTGGAAAAAGAAAACTTTTAAGAGAAGTCCAAAAATGCAGAAAGAAGCTAAAAATAACAAACGATACAGAGTCTGAAGCCAACACGTTTCTTGAGTTATGTGACAAATTTTTGACTCCAGACTTAGCGCGTGTTGTTAAGCAACAGACCAACATTATAACTCAGGGACATGGGAACAGATATAACTTGGACTACAAAATTTTCTGTTTGAATTTATACTACGTGAGTCCACAGGCCTACAGCCTGTTAAAAGACACTTTATGTTTACCAAGTAAACAAACACTTACAAAAATGTATGTGCCTGTAACTACAAAAATTCAAGGCCACCTCATGGATGTTCTTAAAACCAAAGTACAATACATGAATGACGTGAATAGACATTGTACACTTGTCGTCGGCGCTATACGCATTAAAGCTAATCTAATTTACAATATTAAGGAAGATAGAATATATGGTTTCCATGAAGTTGACGGTGTGCAATATCCTGAGCCCGCGAAGTACGCTTTAGTAGCAATGATCCATGGCTTATATGAAAATTATAAGCAGCCAGTAGGTCTTGCATTATTATCTGAATGTAAAAATTATCCAAGCGTAACAGATTGGATTTATAGACTAATCATAGAACTTTTTTCAATTGGTTTCCAAGTCCGAAGTTTAGTGTCAGAAACGGGTTATGAGTTTTTTAACAACGCTAAAAAAAGATCAGTATCTGCAGAAAATCCCTATTTCTTCGTTGGTGGTAGAAAAATATATTATGTATTTAATCCACCTCATTTAATCAAATTAGTGCGAAATAACTTGATTAACTATGAATTTCATTTTGAAGATAATGTGGCCAAATGGTATCACATACTTCAGTTTTATGAGATGGATAAGATAAAACGTCTAAGACTTGCCCCAATGCTTACAGACAGTCATATTAAACCCACAAATTTTGAAAGGATGCAGGTAAAATAC